ACGCTTGTGCAAAACTGTTTTGTTGTCAGAATCTCTGTGCCTTTGAGCTCCTTTTCACTTCAAATACAGGAAACCCTCGATTTTGCGGACCTTGGTTTCACAGACTGGATTTAACGGCCTTTGGATTTAAAAGACCTAATTTCCGGTCCTTATGTCATATATGAAAATTAACACCCTGGTAATTTTAAAATGCTTTTAACCAAGATTTGCTTATAATTAAATTAACAGGGTTTTGTTTTGTTACTAATTTACTGTTGTTTTAACAAATTTTAGCCAATAGGCCGTATGTTGGTGAAAGTACTGTAGTAATTTCGCTGCCATAAGTCTTGTGTATCTACTACTCAAATCCCCGAGTCCCTGCTCTTAAGCATGTTCTGGGAATGGTTAGGTGATCGCCCCGCAGCACGTGTGCCAAGCGCGTCCTGGCCTCGCGCGTCTGCTCACGCCCAGGGAAGGGGAATGCCCACATTCCGCAGACCCGTCCGGTAGAAACGTAAAATCACAGTGACAGAAAGCTCTCCTGTGACATTTAACTTCCTAAACATACCTAATTTTAATCACGCAAACGCGTCTACATGAAACCAGGTAAACGAACTTGTCAACTTTTTAGCGTACGCATGCGGAAAACCTGCTTGAGGATGGAACGGCCCTTTGGCTTTAGCGAACGCCCCCTCGCCTGAGGTCGCCGTGTGGAGGTTGCTGGGTTCCCCCTTCGCCGGCCCCTCCCGGAGGCCGACAGAACCAGCTCCAGAGCTTCAGGCCAATGCCCGTGACAGCTGCGCTGGGCCCCGCGCGGGAGGTCGCGGCCCAGCAGGACCATGGCCTGAGGCCAGCGAGGCCCACCCCATGTTTGCTCCTGGTGGCAGCATGGCCTTAAGGCTGTCCCATCCTGGCTGAGGGGCAGGTGGCGGGAACTGGGGTTTTCCTCCCACTCTGTGGAGGCGTCCCCCTAACTACCATGTTATCCCCGTGCGTCCCAAGTCATAAACCACATACACCCAAACCCTGTAAGTGGGGTAATTCGCCCTAAAGTTCAAGCATAAGACAATTCCAGGCAGTTTTCTGATGGGAAATGACAGCCGTAGTCGGAGGAACAGATGGGAAAGAGGGTTTTGCTGGGGTCCAACCCCAGCAGGTCCAGCGGTCCCCAAAGGTGTGGACGGAGTCGGCGAAGGAATGACACGGAGACAGCGTTCAGTTGATCAGCAGCCTTGCCAGGATCTCTAGCCACAATCTCCAGCCAAGTTCTGTGTCCATGTTCTGTCTAGGTTCTGTGTCCTGTTACATCTGTATTTATACCAGTTGATTCCAATCCTATCAATCTCTATTCCAAAGGTTAGGGTGTTTCTTATCTCCATTCCAGGGAGTAAAGATTATGTAGCTTAAGCATGATTGTTCATACTTAAAGAGATTAATTACCTGCCTGGCACTTAGTGAAGGGGTTTTATTCCCTCCCTAACTTCAGGGGAAAATCCCTAGCTGGGGAAACAACCTTTCTCAGAGAGGTGACCTTGGTTAAAACACAGCGCCAAGAAGGTGAGCAAACATATTAAGAACAGTATGCCATATACGCCAGGTCCCTTGAAACAGCAAGGATGGACCGGCTCCCGGCAGGGTTTGACTCTCCAGGTTCCTACATGAAGCTAAGCCTCATCTGTAAAACCATTAGTGCGAGGAAGTCACTCCCACCTGAGAAGGGACGTGCTGGGTTGTGGGCCGTGAGCCGTGAGCCGTGGGCTGTGCTGGGCCGTGAGCCGTGAGCCGTGGGCCGTGGCACACAGGCAGCTCTCGGGAGATGTGCCTTTCCAAGGTGTCCCTGGCCACCAAGAGCCAAGCACCGGGAGCGGCTGCTACCCACTCAGTGAGCCCCATGTTCTCCTCCCCTCCTGCCCCCGCTTCTGGTGACTGAGCCACGCTCAGGCTGGAAGGTGGGTGACAGCAGCCTGCGGCCGGGCTGACGATGTGGAAAGCGCGGAGGGAAGTTCTGTGTGAGAAGGAAAAGCGGGGCCGAGCTGACGCCGCTCCCTTGGGCTGCGTGGCGGGAGCTCTGTGTCACTTTGGGCTCAGGGTCCGTAACAGAAATGGGGGTGAGACGAGGAGCCCAGGGAGCCACAGCGGACACGGGGCTGAAACGCAGGAGCCCCGCCCTGATGTCACGTGTGTGACCTTCAGGCCGTGAGGAGACCTGGTCCAGACGGGGTTCCCTGTGGACACGGCACATTCTGGGTGGAACCACAGTGTGAGGACCAGCAGGCGGACGGCCCAGTCCCTCCAGGTGGGGTGGCTGAGGCTCCCCACTGGGCAGCTTGGAGGCAGCAGGGCACAGACTGGCCACAAGGTGGCGCTGCACCTCCGTTCTCAATGGGGTCGGTCAATGGGGTAAGAAAACTCCCTGGGGGTGGGCCGCGGGGTCCCTTGGGGAAGCCTGGTGTGGCCTGGGTCTCCGAGTCCTGTACCGACCCCGAAGGCCATGCAGCCCACCCCTGCTGAGTCTCATCCCATCCGTCAGCTGAACGGGCATCGAGCAAGTACAGGCCCTCCACGGAGGCCCAGCCCCGGACGGCGGGACCCCAGCCACGCGCCCCACATCCAGCGGCAGTGACCACACAGAGTGAACAGGTTTACTGCCTACGTGGGAGGTTACAGCTGATACGTGAGAGTACACTTAGGATACATGTAGTTACGTCAACATAAAACAGCTGGTTACAATGAGCACATGCAACTCCTGCAGAGGAAAATCACGGACAACACGCCAGACCGGCCTGGCCACGAGCCAGTGGGGCAGCGGGTGTCCTGGGCAGGCGGGGCCGGTGCAGGGGACACAGCACACTGGCCCAGGCACACCACGCCCACTGTTCACACACGCGTGTTGAGACCGAAGAACTTAAGACACTGACCTTAACACGCCCCCTTATCTGTGGCACCCAGGGTGTTGGTGGTCAGCCCTGGACGCGTGGAGTCCTCACTCACCAAGGCTGTGCTTAAGGGACAGAGACGGGCACCCTGTGGCCACTGGCCTCAAGTGCTGTTCACGCAGCCCGAGGCCCCCCCGCTCACGCGCACACCAGCAGCACATGAAAAACCGTGAATCCAGAAGGGGCCACATTTGGCCCCGACCCTCTGACGTCGCCTGGACCCCGCCCACGGTCCGGGAAAGGCCGCCGGGACCAGCGGGAGGGCCAGGAACCGGGTCCGCTGGCTCACAGCGTCGCGGGAACCGGGACCATCCTGCTTTGGGCTCTCTCTGGAGACCTGGCCGTTTAGTGGCTCCATCTTCTCTTAATTCACAGAAAAGTGCAAAAAGCTTTTCGAAGTGACCTCGCCTGGGCAACAGGACGAACGTGACCCAGAAAGCGGCCGGCAGCCGTCACAGCTCCGCTCGGGGAGCTCAGTGCCTGGCAGTGCAGCCGTCGCCTCGTTCACCGGACGGAAGTGCACGTCTGAGCTGGTTCTTAGACCCGAAGGGAGAAGACGACGGAGGACTACAGGCCTGTCTGCATCTCTTCATCGCGCCCCCAGATCGTGCTCACTATCCAGGCAAGACCCTCCCAGCAAAGCTACAACTCCCCCGAGAGGGGGCTGGCACTTACGGAGGCACGCTGGAGTTTACCCCAAACATGCCGTAGACCTTCACATGCTCCACCTTAGAGGCGACCTTCACACGGCCTCCCATCGAGGCCGCTGCTCTCACCGTCAGGACCGAGTCTCCTCCTCTCCGGTGGCGTGACGCAGCAAAGAGCACGTGGCCGCTCACCCCGCCCCTGTGCACCCTCCCCTGCCAGCCCCCAGGGGGCTCTGCTCTGTGGTGACGGGACCACAGCCTGTCCCTGTCCCGTCCTCGGGGCCGAGGGCACCATCTGAGCCCCGAGACCCGCAAGGGCAACACGTTCACACGGGAGGCTCGCACTCAGCTGTGGGCGGCGTGGGCGCAGACGGCCAGTCTGAGACGCTGCAGGAGGCTGTGAGCAGGGACAGGAACGTTCTAAAAACTCATCAGGTGACTGATGACAGAAGGTTCAAAACCTATTTTCAATTTCCAAGTTGAACTCCAGAACCCGCTCCTGCAGCATCAGTCCCAGGGGCGAGTCTGTGCTGTGATCGCACGGAGCCTCCGGGTCAGAGCACAAGGGCCGATCAGCTGTGCCGCTGGGCGAGCTCTGGGGCCGCGGGGAGGGTGGGACCGCGCCTGACCGTCACCCCCAGCCCTCAGCACAGCGGTGCGTGTCAGCGCCTCTGGCGCCCTGGCAAAGGTTCCTGGCGCCCTGAGGCTGCTCCTCAGGCACCGAGGCCGTGGCAGCCCCGCGAGGGGGCCTGGCGTGTAGTGTGTGAGTGGATCAGGGTCTGGGACAGAGGACAGGACACGCTTGTCCTCAGTGAGTGGGACTCCGTGGATCTGAGGCGCAGACTGGCTGTGTCCGGCGGCCTGCGGGCGGGTGCCTCACTGGGGCAC